GTAAATTGCTACAAATTTCAATAAGTGTTAAACATTATTCTCGGTTTAACTTCAATTTGTAAATTGTTACAAATTTCAACAAGTGTTTAAACAATGATCTCGGTTTAACTTCAACTTGTAAATTGCTACAAATTTCAACAAGTGTTAAACAATGATCTCGGTTTAACTTCAACTTGTAAATTGCTACAAATTTCAACAAGTGTTAAACAATAATCTCGGTTTAACTTCAACTTGTAAATTGCTACAAATTTGCGTTAAACATGACCTCGTATATAAACAACCTCCGGGAACTCCAAACGAACACAAGCATGGATAATCACCGAGTGTTCAAACGGTGACGTCCAAGTCTTGAGGACGGTCAAAAATGGGGTGTCTACAAAGTGTTAAACATCTTTGTCTTCTCTCTGCCCCCTAATTGTGTGTTTCTTTTTTATCTTCTAGGATCTGAGATTTTGCTCACTGAACTCATCTCTTCTTGGATTTAAGTGCCGAGCTCTTGTCTTCTGGAATCTTGGATCTGCTCACTCAGGTTGAGCTCTTTTCTTCTCGGACCTATTCATCTAGGCCGAGATCATGTCTTCTGGGATCTGGGATCCGGGATTTGCTCACTTAGGCTGAACTCTTTTATACTCGAATGTCATCTCCTTGGGAGCGCTCATGCCCCATGTCTTTGCGTCCCTTCTGGAAGGGTCTTCATTCTGTTTATGTTGACACATTCTCCATCTTTGCTAAACTCGTCGTTTCTGCTACGTTGATCTTGTATGATGATGGCCATCTATTCTCCTTTCTTTCCCACAGACAGAGCCAAATTGTGTGGGTGAAAATCTGACCACACTGCAATCTTAGTATCCAGCTGGAGAGTACCGGCAAAATAGATGGCACCTGACTAACCTGCAACAGAAAGAGAAGACTCCGGTGGTGGTTCGCCACCCGGGGGTACTCCGAAGATCAAGTCAGTACTCAATATCTCTCAAAGATAATCAATATTGCTAAACTCACTAGCTTGAGCATAAAAAGACATAGCTTAGACCCATGGGATGCCTCTCTTTTATAGCCAACTCAATCCTAGTCCCAATAGAAGCCTAACTCCAATGGACTCAGGATTACTGCTAATCTTGGACTCCCAATAGGATCAGGATAAGTTCTCTAAGAGTCTCATATTTACCCAAACTGAAGTCTCCTCCCATTCTAGGACTCTTGTTCTTTATCCGCTTATCTCAGATTCCGGTATTCTCGTTGATAACCTCGGCTTAACCGAGATCATCTCGGTATCATGACCAGGGCATGAGGCACCTCGACTGGCACTTTGGTGGCACCTCAGCCACGTGTTATCATTTAAAAATTATGTCATCACAAATATATTTATTTAAATCATTCTAAACAAATCTTTAAATTGATTTGTGGTATAAACCACGTGATGCCCATAAATAATAAAACCTTACATACCTAATTGCTAGCTATAACGTGTTCACAATCAGCCACATGATGAGCATATGAAACTTTGACAATGCCTCACATACCAAATTGTCAACTATACTAATCACATGTTGATTACCCAAAAGTAATTTAGAAAGCCCAACGTATGTAATATTGAAAAGGTCCATGTGGATAATATTTTTTACTTTCAGGGTCTCATTTTCATTTTATTTAATCGAACAAGAAAGAAAAGCAATGAAACATACCCAATGCATGAGTAAATAGATAAGAGGTTTAATTTTATTTTTTTTCCTTTTTTTAATGTTTTCTCACATTTTCTTATCAATCAAATGCCGGGGAAAAAAAAATCATAAAAAGAAAAGCAATGAAACACACCCAATGCATGAGTAAATAGATAAGAGGTTTTATTTTTATTTTTTTCCTTTTTTCAATGTTTTCTCACATTTTCTTATCAACCAAATGCCGGGAAAAAAAAAAATCATAACAAAAGTAGAGAATAAAGTTTTGAATTTAAATTAGGAGTGGTTAGTTGCAAATATGTTGGGAATAAGGAGGGAGAGAGCTTAGTTCCGTTTATTTTATTTTATCTTATTTCTGATGTATCAAAAAAAAATTTGAATTAGGTTGCTTTTTCAAAATAAACAAAAAATAACTTATTTGAGATATGTTTTCTTTTGACAAAAGATAAATAAATTATATGTCAAATTATCAAAATATCCTCAATTTATTTCATTGACTAGGGCAAACCATATTCCCATTAGGGTACTATAAAAATTTCACAATTTTTTTCTCAAATGATGTAACACCATATTATAGTACTTTTTAAAAAGTAAAAAAGTTAATAAAAAAATAATTTTTAAATGCATTTTTTAAAAAGCAAAAAAAAAAAAAAAATCTATGTTTCCAAACCACCCCTTAGGACCTCTCTAGATAATGAAAAAAGTGCAATACTTAGATAAAAGTTTTTGTTTTTTTTCTTTTATAAATATTTTCTTATGTTTTCTTTACAATCAAATGAAAGAAAAGGAAAAATTAAGAAAAAAATTTATAATTCCCATGGTATATCAATTATGATATAATTATAATCATTGTAATATTATTAGATTTTTAATCATGTTTGAAGCCAAGGTTTGCCCAACACTAGATTTTTTTAATTGAGAATTACTATTGATGATGCAGTTTGGTCGGATGAGAGATAGGTCAGATAGGATTTGAATGCTCCACGGATTGACTGAACTTCGTCTTCCCAGCAGCACTTGTACCAAGTTCGGTAAAAAAGTCCCAGGGGGTGGGTTTCCTTCCTGAGGACTCTCCGATGATTGAGTTAGATTGGAAAGAAGAGGGAGTCAAGAAAATAAATAGAGAAAATATGTATTTATTAATATCTTTCATACCTTTGCTGGCCTCTTGGCTTACTGCGTCCCACTAATGATTGTTCTTCTGTCTTTGTCTTTTCACGTTGTCCTATCAGCCATTAGTCTATGACTATCCGTAGTCGATCATGACAGCATCGTTATGTCACAGAAATCACGAAAGAAAAGGGGGTGGCTTGTCTTTTCTTTTTGTCGGACCCCTAGGCTTAAGTTGAATTAAGAATTATTTGAACGACCCATTAGACCACCTATTTTGGTTATGTCCATCAACTATTCAGTAGTAATTTTAAAAACTTATTACAAATTTATAAAAAAAAATAATTATGATTTTAATTATTAATATTTATAAACTTTATTACTTATTTATAAATATTTTTAAAAAAATTTACATTAAATTATTTTCCTTTTTTTTTATAAAATTTTTTATTTCAAAGAGAGCAAAAGCACAAACACCACCACGAGCCACCCACTACGGCCATGCAAAGATATTCTGAATCTGAAAAGTGCTCTGACAAAATTGGGAATTCCAACCTCCATCAAAAACCAAAACCCTAATTGATAGCCCTATCATTTTGTATTGTACTACTTCACTACAAGTCCTATTACATCTATTAATAAGACAGTAGAAGAACAATTATATTATTAATATTTTTTTTGTGCAATTATATATAAAAAATACTTATATATATACAAAAATTTATATTATCATAAAAATATAAATAGTATTTTTTATTGTGCCATGATTTATAATTTTTCCTAATAACATCACATTTATCTTTGTTTATAATATGATTTTATTAAACTCATATTATAAATGGTGGGTACAGAACAATATAATTTTTTCTAATTGAGTAAAACAATAAATAAAGTCATCATAGTATGAAGTAAAGAAAATAATTTTTGTTCGCTTGTGAGTGTATAAATTAAATTTTATTTATTTGGAACCAAAATTGGGATATGTTATACAAAGTAAATCTTATTTACTCATTATTTATGAGCCTTTAAAAGAGAATTATTTACAAATATCAATTATATAAATCATTTTTAAGAGAATATATATATATATATATATACATAGATATTGGAGAAATAGATAGTAGGTACGAGAAAAAGGTAAATCATATATTTGTTCTTACAAAATACATCATGTGTCACATGACAATTTTAGTTAATTATAATGCAAGATAAATGAAATGATCATATTACAACTTGAGTAAAAATACAAGCATTGACTGTTATAATTAACAAAAATGAAAAACTTAAGTAAAATTTGGTGTTAAATACAGAATCAAAAGTGTAATTTACCCAATTAACTTTGTTCGAGAAGTAAGATTTTTAGTTAAAAAAACTATCGCAAATTTTTAATTTTTTTTTCTTTACTTCTTATATGTATTACCATAAAAAGTTAAAAAAAATTACTAAAAAGTCAATTCCTAAATAAATCCTAAAGTTGTGTTCAGTTTATAAATTAAAAAAAGAAAGATGAATATATGTGAAATGTAATTATAATTTATTTATTGCTTTATTTCTTTTCCCTCTCAAATTCATATTTAAATCCGTAAACTTAAAACAACGTAAATATGTTTTTAGGATTGATACGTGCATATAATGTTAGTCATGTGTATGTGATAACAAAGGAAAAAAGATGGTAATAAAAGATAAGAAAAGATTAAGGGTTAGTTTGGAATGTTCTAAAAAAGTGCACTTTTTGATTTATTGGCTTATATGGGTTGGGTTTGGGTTTGGGTTTGGGTTTAGGTTTGGATTGGGTTTGATGTGATGTGTTAGAGAGGTGTTGTGATTTAAATAAGATGATGTGATTTAAATAGGATAGTGACTTTTTGACTTTTTTAAGTTATGTCAAACCAAGCCTAAATGATCCTCATGCACCTTATAATTAAAGGGAAAAAAATGATATAATTATATATTTTTTGAATCATAATTATAAATAAATAATTAAATGAGATATAACTAAACATATGAAAAAAATTTAATTATAAATAAAAAAAAATTAACATACTCCTAACTGAAATGGTTAAACGCGTCTATTGTGGAATTCTCCTAAAAAGACACCGACGCGTCTTTCCTAAGCAGATTCTTTCTGCGTGATACCCTCTCTCTCTCTCTCTCTCTCTCTCTCTCTCTCTTTCTTTTTTTAATTTTTCTTTTATTTTCTCTCTCTATATTTATATATATCTCTTTCTCTTTCTCTTTCTCTTTCTCATTCTCATTCTCGACTCGAGCAGTGACATTGCGTGGTCTCTCTTCAACACACACACACACACACACACACACACCATCCCTCCTCCTCCCAGTTTTTTAGGGTTTTAGAGAGAGAAACTGTGGAGAGAGAGAGAATGTCGACGGCGGAGGAGAGCGGCGTGGCCAGTGATTTTCCGGTGAAGAAGCTGAAAGAGATGAACGAGAACGGTGTGGAGCCACCGCCGGAGTGTATATCTTCGGTTATACCTGGTTGGTTCTCTGAGATTAGCCCCATGTGGCCTGGTCAGTTTTCACTCCTATCCTATCCTATCCTATCACACCCTATCCCTGCCTACCAATTACTATTATATTAGGTCTCTGCTTTTGGGGATTCATATGCATTTCAATTCATGGCTTTGTCTTCATACTATTTGATTTCCTGATTTATTTTTCTATTTGCCCAGATGGGTTTGCGTTAGAATCTGCCATTTGTGTCTTTCACGCTGTATTTTCGGTTATCTGTTAATGTTGAGTTTTATGGTTAATTTTGCTTGTTTGTGTTCAAATTACCATTTTCTGTTTTGCTTTAGGGCTTTCAGGTTGCTTTTGTTTTCTACGGACTCTTTACTCATCTTTTCTTTTTTGGAGTTTAATTTTATAATTTACTTTTTTTCAATGCATCGTCCACTGGCTGAGAAATGTGGGAAAAGTCAATAAAGTAACGCTTTTAAAATTCACAAAGCGAAAGGAAATTTAAAAAATTCCATTCAACTGAGTAAAAAGAATCTTTTAAAAAAAGAAAAAAAAGGTTTGTTGATGCTAGTGAATTTGACACTTTAATAATTCACAGAGTGAAAGGAAAGAAGAATAAGAAATTCCACTCAATTGTGAAAAAGAATCTCTTTTCTTTTCTTTTAATTAAAAATGGATTTGTTGATGTTAGTGAATTTGTTGGAAGTAATTAGTGAATAAATTGGTAAAAGAATTGGACTTTTATTCACCTAAAAGTTCAAATGTAAATGAAGATTCTAAGCATCAAAGCTAGCAGGAGTACTTCAGTTTAGAATTGAATTTACAGATAATGCCAAAACGGACAGAGGGTCCATGTTCTCTGGATTATTTCAGTTATAGATTTGTTCCCATCTTCCCATTCTTGAAAAACTCCAAAGGGTCCATGTTCATGAAGAGGTGTTGTAAATTACATTCCATGCTTATCATATCAAGTCTGATGCAGATGTCACGTGTCGTAGGAATTGGGATTTTGTTGCCAATTCTATTGCAGGATAAGACATTTTTACCACAGGTCCACAAAACTTCTTGATAATAGTAATTTTTGTGTTATTATTTTATTTTATAAGTTCACTTCAGCCAAAATGTCCAGTGGTTAGGCTGCATTCCCCTAATAAAGAGACTCAATGTTCGGGCCTTCTTACTTTACCATACCTTTCAAAAGAAAAAAGAAAAAAATTGTCACTTTAGCCGAAATGCTTAGTAGCCTGTTGTTTTGACTAATGTGCAAACTTACATAGCCATTTATTCCGGAGATTATTATCATGGAAATTGTTAAATTCATGATATCTGGTCAGATTCCCAAATTCATACTTTCTGTTTTTTTGTTTTTTGAAGCTATAAGAAATATTATAGCTTTTTTTATTCTTATATCGTAAAAAATCTTTACCAGGATTTTTCTTGGTATTTAATTTCCCTTCGTTTTACTTTTCAAAAGTACTTATTTATATTATGAATATTTGTCTTTTTGACGTATACATGAAATTAATTTATCGATGAATACAGGAGAAGCGCATTCTTTGAAGGTGGAAAAGATCTTGTTTCAGGGTAAATCTGACTACCAGAACGTTATGGTTTTTCAGGTATTTGATATTTTGGAATGGAACTTAAAATGTATTTTTACATTCACTTTTGTACTAATTATGGCTGGTATATTATGTGATACTGAACTTGTGTTCAACGATTGCTTCCCATTGCTCTGTTACAGTCTGCGACATATGGAAAGGTTCTTGTTTTGGATGGTGTGATTCAACTCACAGAGAGGGATGAATGCTCGTATCAAGAAATGATTGCTCACCTCCCACTTTGCTCAATTCCCAACCCAAAGAAGGTTTTTTCAGCTTTTTAGTACTAATTAATGAACTGCACTCGAAGGAATGATATGTATAATATGTTGTTTTTTGACTGAGTAGTTTTTTATATCTGAACTAGTGTGGATTTAAATAGTCCATATATTCTCTGCTGTGTCTGGTGGATCATAAGTCTAGATTTAGGTTCCTAATTGGGCAGAAATGTAGAAAGATGGACTGGGGTGAATGTTTGAGAAGTTTGTTCGTGACAAAATATTATCTTAATATTTGATGTTTAACCGTGAAATTGATTGATGAGGTCCATGAGATTAGTTAGCCACACACCTGGGATTTCATTTGGTGTTTTAGTTTTGCCATTCGAAGAGTAGTTATTCTGTGTAATTCTAGTCTATTAGTTAAGTGTATGGTGTGAATCGAGCATGGGATGCTGGTTTTGCATCACTCCTCCAACCCCAACCCCCTTATCATGCTGCGACAGCTGTCTAAGTTGTATTAAAGGTTTTTCACAGAAAACTATTAAATCACTAAATAAAATTAACAGTTCACTGTATTTATTCTTTCCTTTTTGTGCCTTACATTTTTTGCTGCTCACCCCTTTGTTTCATACACAGGTTTTGGTTATTGGTGGTGGAGATGGTGGTGTCTTACGTGAAGTGTCTCGCCATTCTTCTGTTGAGCAGATAGATATTTGTGAAATTGATAAAATGGTCATTGATGTGAGTGATAATGATTTGGTTAACTTTAATTTTCCTTTTGGCTTTAGTGACTGGTATATTCTTTTACTTTCAGACTAGCATTGGCTGTTTTCTCTTGAACAAAAGTTTCTGTTTATTTATGTCCACTTTGGACTCAACCATGGATTTTCCCCCATAATGAATTTGTTGAGTTTGGAAGCAATTGCAACATAACCTCGTTTTGATTGTCTTTTAGGTTTCTAAACAATTTTTTCCTCATGTTGCTATTGGATATGAGGATCCCCGTGTAAAACTCCATGTTGGTGATGGTATGGTCATCTTTTTCATTTTTCTTCTCAACACGTCCATCCTTTCTTCCTCGAATTCATGCCTCCATGATTTTTTTGTCAACTGTGCAGGAGTTGCATTTCTGAAAGCTGTTCCTGAAGGAACTTATGATGCAGTTATAGTAGACTCTTCCGACCCAATAGGTAATAATGTATTTGCGTGCTATCAATTGCTTCTTTCTTGCATTCATCAGAGGCATATATTTTTATCTTTCAACCAATTGCTTCTTTTTTATCTTATCAGGTCCTGCACAGGAACTTTTTGAAAAGCCCTTCTTTGAGTCGGTAGCAAAGGCTCTTCGTCCTGGAGGGGTTGTGTGTACTCAAGCTGAAAGCATATGGCTTCACATGCACATAATTGAAGATATTGTTGCAAATTGTCGCCAGATATTCAAAGGCTCCGTCAACTATGCATGGACAACAGTTCCTACATACCCAAGGTATGCTTCTTGATTTGATTCTTGCTTTTTCTGTGTTCTAAACTTCTTTACTACTAAGCCGGTGTTCCATTATGAATGGTTCTGAGGATTAAACACCGCTGTCCTTTCACTGATTCTTGCTCTCGTTAATAGAGGATAATTTAACTGCATGTGTGAATGGTATTGATTATTTTGATTTCAGTGGGGTGATTGGTTTCATGCTCTGCTCTACTGAGGGACCGCCTGTGGATTTCAAGCATCCAGTCAACCCAATAGACGCCGATGATAGCCATTGCAAATCGAAAGGGCCCTTGAAATTCTACAACTCAGAGGTCTGGTTCTGTTCTCTTCTCAATTACACAGAGTTCCCCTAGGGTATGTTAGGTTAGAAAGAAAGTGATGATAGAAAGTGGGAATGGTAGAAAAACAAAGTGAAAGAAAGGTAAAAGAAAGGACAATTTATTTTCTTGCATGCTTTGAATTACAATGAAATTTTGCGAGAGAATGATTGTATAATTTAGCTTTGTAGTTTGAAAAGAATGAAAGTTGCAGGAAAATTCTTGTATTTTACCTAATTGCCCTTGTCCATTTTAAACAAGTGTGAAAACACACACACACACACACACACAACAGTGTGAAAAAAATTCTGCATATTTTGTGGGAAACCAAAAATTTATGTTTAGACAAATTGTACAGGAAATTTTACTTTTCAACATTTTCTAGGACCGCCTTTGTAAACAAACACACACACACACACACACACACAAAAGTAAGGTTTTTTTTTTTTTTTAATCGATCTGTTCTCTGTTTTCCTTCACAGATTCATGCCGCATCATTCTGTTTGCCATCTTTTGCGAAGAAGGTGATTGATTCGATAGCTGAATAAGCCAACTTTTTGGAGCAAATTTGAGGAAGCAGGATTTAGCTGTTGTAGAGTTCCGGCTTTCATTGGTCCTTACTAAAGAGTTCCTTTCTAGCAAAGGACCTAAAATAAGCTGAGGTTTGAATTTTGATGCTCTGAGTGTGAGCATCGTATCTAATTGGAGAGAGAGTTGTATGATTATTGATCAGAGCATATAATAGATAAAATGCTTTCTTGCCCTTAGAAAGACTTTGCTGTTGGCATCTATTTGCATTTTACATCTAATTATTAAAAATAGTAGCTAATTTTTTTCATTTTTTTCTTTTTCTTCAAAAATCTCAGAACTTATATTGTTGTCATATTCAACGAAAGAAAGGGGAGTATTGTAACGAAATAAAAAAGTTTTAATTTTATCAATTTAAATTTCAATATTTTGATTTGTTTTTAATATAAACCATTCGTTTATTTTTATTCAGTAAATCAGACAAAAAAATAATATTTTAATCATTAAATTCAATGTTATTATATATAAAATGTTTAAAATATTCTTTTTCATTGTATTTAATGATTAAAGTATTATTTTTTTCGTTGATTTTTCTTAATGAAAATAGATAAATAATTTAAATTTAAAACAAATTAATTTAAGTTTTAACATAACAAAATTTTAATTTTAATTTATTGTAAGAATCTAATTCTTTTTTTTTCTTTTTTTTTATTGGTAATTTTCCGAGGAAACTACCTAATCCTCCAAAATTTTTAACTTCTTGTCACCAAATAATTTAATTTTGTTTTTTCCGTCCAACCTCATTGAACAAAAGTACCATGGGCCATGGCCATTCCTCACCAAATTACATAATCAAGTCCTTTTAAAACTATTCCTACCGTTGTATCAAATCTTTCATTAAGTTCAAATTTGACAAAAATAATACTCCAATCATTTCATCAATTGTAATAGGGTCAATTTTCATTTTCAATTTTCAACCTGTAATGACACTAAGTTGCAGCACTTAGTCTCAGCCAAGCATGCAAGAATTACCTACTATAAGTTTTGTAAGCAAGCAAGCATACACAAGTAGATTACAGGAACCGTTCCCAACCTTTATTATTACCAAATAATATAAGGATACATGAGTATTCGTACAGATAACATGATCTGTCTAAATCCCACTATGCCTTAACATTTATAGGCATTTTACAAATCAATTATGAGTAGTTGACACACCCAGCTGCTAGGGCAAATTCAAACCAACAAGGTTGCTACAGATTGTTACTGTTGGAAACTGCTTGGAACTGTCTTGGACCAGCCCCTTAATTCTAGCAGCCTTTGTCTTGACTTTCTGCAAGCATAACTGCTACAAACTGCCCTGTCTGTCAGCTTTGCATCATGCCAAGGAACTGCTATGAACTGCCTATCCATTTCAGCCTTTTGAACCCTCATGAGTTTAACCCACGAAATTGTAAGTCTTGGTCTGCCATGTCTTGCCCACTGATCTGTTTACCCCAACAAGTCTATGCTACCAGCAGCATTCGGGCTAAGTATAGCCATTCATTTGCCCACATGAAACATTACTCGCCTTTGGGTCTGGTGGCATTGCCACTGCCACCTTGTTACCTTGACTTAGGCATGCCTCCCTCATGCCTGACTTGGACCTTGACATAGGTGTAAGATGCCACCCTATGCCAAGCTGTGTGTCTAAGTCAGCTTGGCATAGGGTGGCACCTTACACCTATGTCAAGGTCCAAGTCAGGCATGAGGGAGGCATGCCTAAGTCAAGGTAACAAGGTGGCAGTGGCAATGCCACCAGACCCAAAGGCGAGTAATGTTTCATGTGGGCAAATGAACAACTATACTTAGCCCGAATGCTGCTGGTAGCATAGACTTGTTGGGTCAAACAGATCAGTGGGCAAGACATGGCAGACCAAGACTTATAATTTCATGGGTTAAACTCAGGAAGGTTCAAAAGGCTAAAATTATTCTTGCAGAAAGTCAAGACAAAGGCTGCTAAAATTAAGGGACTAGTCCAAGACAGTTCCAGGCAATTTCCAGCAGTTACAATCTGTAGCAGCTTTGTTGGTGTGAATTTGCCCTAGTAGTTGGGGGTGTCAACTGCTCATCGGTTTAGCGATTTTGAAATTTTATAAATTTTCAACATAATTCAACTTGTGCACTTCCTCAAAAAAAAAAAAAAAGTATTATAGTCAATGATTTAAAAAAATATTACAATCACTGCATGTCTCATCCAAAGTAAGAAAGTTTGAAACTTTAGAATATTACAATCATTGCATGCTTTATGCACATACTACAATTACAACATGCCTCATCCACATAAAGTATTACAATCTGTGGTTCTTAAAATATAAAAAAAATTCAAACCACCAAAACCATGAATAGAGCAATAGTAGAGATTGTATATCTCTGTATTATTACATCTATATCTGTTTTTGAAAATAAAAACCAACAAGCATATATCATATTTTCTATTTATTATTTTTAGAGATAGATTTAAAAACAAAAAAATATAGATGAATAATACGTTTATTTTTTCAATTCAAAAAAAGATATTCAAGTTAAAAAAAAAATTTCAACAGAATATTTAAACTCTTTTTTAATTGAAAACACAAACAAAATATTTAAACAAACTGAAAACACAAAGTCTTATAAATTACTAGGGGTGCTCACGGTTTGGCAGTTCGGTTGCAGCCAAACGAATCTCAAATCCGCCATCCATCCGCCAGATTGGCGAATTGGAGAAAATCAATTCACAACCGTACGCTCGTCATCACGCATCCGTCCAAAATGCGGCGAATCGGTTCGTTTCGATCGGTTTTGACAGATCGGTATATCTGCTGCTCACCCTTAGCTAAAATGGATAGGCAGTTCATAACAGTTCCTTGGCATGATACAAAGCTGACAGACAGGGCAGTTTATAGCAGTTATTCTTGCAGAAAGTCAAGACAAAGGCTGCTAGAATTAAGGGACTAGTCCAAGACAGTTCCAGGCAATTTCCAGCAGTTACAATCTGTAGCAGCTTTGTTGGTGTGAATTTGCCCTAGTAGTTGGGGGTGTCAACTGCTCATAACTGATTTGTAAAATGCCTACAAATGTTAAGGCATAGTGGGATTTAGACAGATCATGTTATCTGTACGAATACTCATGTATCCTTGTATTATTTGGTAATAATAAAGGTTTGGAACGGTTCTTGTAATCTACTTGTGTATGCTTGCTTACTTACAAAACTTATAGTGGGTAATTCGTGCATGCTTGGCTGAGACTAAGTGCTGCAATTTAGTGCCATTACAGGTTGGAAATTGAAAACGAAAATTGACCCTGTAACAAACTAAAATCAAATGAAAGAAAACTAGGTGAATGATAGGATTTCAAGATGAATTTAATAAAAATTTACTTTTTACTAGCCGACCAACAAAATTGACAAAAATCATTAGAGTATGTCATATCAAATTAAATTTTTCATTAAATTTAGAAAAATGTTTGGTAACTCAAAATTTTGTGATTCAAATAGCTCAAATCTGTCAAAACGATGTCGTTTTACACTCATTTACACTCAAAACGACATCGTTTTGAGTGATTTAAGCCATTTGAGCCACGAAATTTTGAGCTACCTAACATTGTTGTTAAATTTAATGAAGCGTTAGAGATGCCCTAACACATGCAAAACTAGCATATTGCTACTACTGAATCCATGAACCCCACTATTGAAAGAAATGACATGGGATAAAAAAGCGAAAAGAAAGTGAATAGAAAAGGAAGAAGATAGAAAAGGAAAATTATAGAAAAGAAACATCTAACTAATTTTATTTGTTTGGATTAGGGAAATGAGAATAACATTAACAGGTATTAATAAATAAATAAAATGTTAATTATCTATTTGATTACACAGAAAAAGGGTAACTTCCAAGTCCCTTTCATCTTTCTTTCCCCTTGACAACAAAACCCTAGTCTTGTTGGAGATGCTACTTTGCATGGATTCAAAGCAGAGGCACAGTGGTGTAGCAGGTAGCAATTACTTTCATTTCCTTGAGCAGCTATTGCATCATTCTCTTTGGGGAAATCCCCACAAATGGTAAGATTACGATTCACTCTCACAGCTTGCCACACACTAATCAATATGACCAATGAACAGCATCATCTTATTCAACCAACAGGCATAAAAGTACTCTCGCAGCTTGACACACACTAATCGATATGACCAATGAACAGCATCTTCTTATTCAACCAACAGGCATAAAAGTAAAGATCACATTCAAACCAATTATGCACTAGGATCTAGAAGTGATGAGTAAATGATGTGTGTGTAGGCAGAGGTGGAAAACCATTTGCACTAAGCAGCAAGTAGCAAAATGTTGCTGATTTAGCCTAAAATCGATCTCAAAACACAAAATTCAGAATCTCTTGGAAACATCTACTTCAAGTATATAAGTTCAGAAGTCTGACACTAACATATAGTAGACAGTAATAATATTGTGTGTTAAAATACGAAAGAGACATCCGACATGTCATATAGTAGACAGAAATAATATTGTGTTAAAATATGAAAGAGACATCCGACTGTCACGACATGAACTCAAATAACGCTACTGTTGTTTGCTAACCTATCCTCCTATCAGGACTACAGTATTAGTACAGAACTCATCTTTTGTTGTCCACCTGCATGTTGCATCACTTCTTCCCCCAGCCTTTAATCTCTGCCAAAATACCTAATGATGTAAGCTTGAATGTACTTCAAGATATTGAAAAACTAGTGAAAACAAATTGGGACAGATAATAGAGTAAATGAAACAAACATGGTATTTTTTGACAAGTGACTCCAAAGCAATATATGACCTATGACCTATGACCAATAAACCAACCACGTGATTTCCCTATTTATTTTCACTTTTTCAGGTTTTGAGTTGTTTACTTCTTTCCTTGTGTGGCTACCTTCACATACCCATTAGCATAAGGTTAATCACGATAAGAACGGCGATATGGAGGTGACCTGCTGTAGTTACGGCCTCGACCAGGTGACATGCTGCATGTGGGAGAACCATTATTATTGTTTGTACAATAAAAAACAAAAAGTGTAGGAAGAAGAGAGAGGGACATACATACAATGTACATGTGCGCACCCACACATACTAGAAAATGTATGTCTTAGAAATTTCCATTCATAGGATGATTACCTAAGAAGTACTGACACTTCTAAGAAGGTGCCATACCTATTTCGGACACTAACACTTGCCATACACTTCCCGACATGTGTCAGGCAGACGTCTATACCAGTTCTATTTTTTTCAAAAAAATTAGCCTAGACACACTTACACACATTTAGGGGGACACATGTCCATTGCTTAGACAAGTGAAACGCATCACATGTTTGAACAACATAACTTAAGCTCCAATGATACAAGATAAATAATGTAGATTTATACATTAATCCCTCTTCCTTTAAACTTCAAAAATTACTGTTATGTTTTTTTACCTCTCATTATCTATGAAATATTCATATATATGACATACAATAAATATATAAATCCAAATATTTTGTACGTCCCTATGTGTCAAGCCCTACATTTTTTACCCCAAAAAAAAATTTGTCACAATATCTGTATTGTGTTTGTGTCGTGACACGTGTTTGTGCTTTTTAGACAATTACATACCCATTGGCATAAGGGGAATGACGGGGTGTTATGCTGCGACGCCGTGGAGATCTTCTCCCACGAGGGCTATAACTCCTGCCACAAAATGGAAACTTCATTAAGATGTTGAATATAACAAGCAAACTCGTAAAGAATCAAAAAGGAAACAAGTGCTCAGTAATTTTGCAGTTCCAATCAGAAAAGGCTATTTTGTTTTTGACAATACAATACATCGCATGCAATTCTTGACCTAAAACAAAACAGAACAAGACAAACATGAAACATACCTATGCCCATAACTTGGACTTCCGCGACGTCGAGGACTGGGGCTACGACGACGCCCACTCCCTAAGCCTCGTGAACCAATGCGCAAGCGACATTCTCGTGCAAAATGACCAGGTTCACCACACTCGTAACACTTCAAGTCATCACCACCACCGCGCCTGCCACCACTGCCTCCTTTAGAATTATGCGAAAGCTCCACGCGCCAGCCATTCTTCCCTGTTAAATCAAATCACGCATAAATGAAAACCTCAAATATTCACAATGCAGAATAGAAGCAACCATCAGTCTTCAGATTTATAAATGATACAAAAGATTATCATCTAGCAAGGTTCTAAACACAACGTGAACAACCCAATAAGCACAATGCAGACCATATAAAATCAATTGACAATTTGACACTACAGCCATAACGAAATCTTAATGTCAAAAACGAGGGGGCGAGGATAACAAAAACACGGACTGACAAACAAGCCAGGTAAGAGTATGGCATTTACAGATTCCAAGCATCTGAAATAGCTAACCGCTAATTCTTGCATAAGATGTATACTTGAGAATGAAACAAGACTACCCATGCGGAAATGAGAACTAAAAAGAAGACATTACTAAAAAAAATGAGAAAATAAATAACATAGTGACTCTGGGAAGTTCTGTCCACCTTTCATCGCACATGGAAACATGGAAATGCTTCAGACAATAAATCCATATAAGACAATGTTGAGACACATGACTTTTGTTTACCCAGGACCAATAAATGGAATATCCTTGGGCCATCTTTATAACAAGTCTAGACAGATAGGCAAAAAGAGGGGGGAAATGATGGTTTCCCAAAGGTGTAGAACACAATATACACAAAGCATGAATGAATTGCCAAGAGAGTTCAATGAGATACCTTGAAGCATGACATTTGTTGAAGTCTGAAGATATGGCTTCAACCAATGAAACCAAAAAGGAAAATAATAAGTTAAAATTATGGGAAGATGTGGACCAGTTTAAGCATTAGCAAACTATGAAATTAGAGAGAAACTTCAATATAATGATAAGATATGTTAGATTCAAAATATGAAAACACCTAATGTAAAATTTTGGCAACAATTCCACGGGCAAGAGTCAAAATATTTTCCACATCAAATATAAGGGAAAGATATTCATTGTGGTAGAAAGATATTCATTGTTTTGTGGTAAGTGACAATCAATCCACCAACAACATGCTCAACTCATCTCAACCAGCTTCCCAAAGAAAATCTCAAACAACCAGACTGGGAGTCTACCATGAGACAAATATAGACGAGCAGCATCTTTGGATTTATCAGAACACTAGAGATTTATATCATGTAATACTAAACAAAGAACAAAAAATCTTGAGGATTGTTCTTCCATCCTTTTTCAAAGTTCAAACAAGCAACAAAAACTGCTTTCTGATAAATTCATCCAGTATAATTCGTGTCACATGTGTAAATTAGGTTAAAAATGCATCAGAGAGGGAGGGGAGAGAGGCAAAAACAGCATTAAGCAATATAATCCACTTTCACTAGTGTGAAACAGGAATTTGGCTTTCCACCTTTCTTGCCCACGTGTGATGGGAATGACTGAGTATCAGGTTTAAGGAAGTGGCAAGACAAATAGACTTGTGGAGTCCCCTGATGGATTATCACGGGGGAGTTTCAGAGTTACGTATAGAGCAGAAACTTATCATTATTAAGGTTGATAGTGAATCCAGAGGAAGTCTAGTGGAAGTCATTGAGAGGAATCGTTTCAAAAGTTATTCTCCCAAGATCGATTTGGGGGGAGTTTTTTGGGCATTGCAAGGTTTGCGACAGGTTTGGAGAAGGCGCAAGGATCGATCCTTTTTTAGCAAGTATAGTAGCAGTTCAGCTGTATTTTGTCTTCAGAAGTACAGTAACAAGAGAGGTGTTTTTGTCGAGTTATCTAAATGGGCGGCTGGGGTTCGAAGAAGTAACATTGTTATTCCGGCAGGGGTTGATGGTCAAGGGTGGCTGGCAGTGGCCAAGATGTTTGAAAGCATTATTCGAGGAAGTTCCAGGGTTCTAGAAGAGGGGGAAAGACAGCATCGAAGTGACCATGATTTAGTTAGGACTTGTGTGGATATGTCAGTTCAGCAAAAAACAGGGGCAAAAAGAGGAGCTTCGTATGCTGCTGTTCTTAGCTCTAAAGTAGATCTCTTGGGAGGCAGTAACTCTGTTTTGGAGATGCGCAAGGTGGTGGTTTGTACCAGAAATGAATTCTTCGATGAATGGGCACAGATTGAGAAGGAGCTATGTCGGTCTTTTAAAACTAATATTTCTCCGAGGCCTTTTCACTTAAACAAAGCTCTGTTTGTTGCAAAAAGCATTGACGAGGCGGATTATTATGATAGTCAGGGAATATGTTTCTTTGGTAAGAGCATGGCAGTAAGTTTGGAAAGGTGGTCGGCTGAAAAACATAGCAGGGCTAATGTGATTGCTTCAAATGGAGGATGGGTCTCAGTCTGTGATCTGCCTTTTAGTCTCTAGAATAACAAGGTTTTTGAATGGATTGGGATGAAGTGTGGAGGTCTGTTGGAGGTGGATAAAAGAACTATGACTTTCGGAAATCTTTTTGAGGCAAGATTGAAAGTCAAAGGTCTTCGTAATGGGTTCTTACCGACAACTATTGATGTTCAATTGGATGGAAGTTCTGCTGTTGTTCGATTAAATGCGTTAACAAAGTCTTCTGGTAGACGTGAGATTCATCGGCAATGGTGGTGCCGACCAGATTTGGGCGACTTCAGTATCGGCGAGGGGGGAGGTGAGGGGTCTCAAGCGACAGCCAAGACACATGGCCGAAAGGAGGTGAGAAGTCAGACTGGTGACCTGAACGAGGTGGAAGGTGGCAATGGTGGTAGAGGAAGAGACGAAAGGGGCAGGCCGTTACATTGTTTGATTAAAGATGGGCCTGGCCACACTGTGGGCTCAGCCCATGTTTTGGTTAATACAAATAACCAAATAAATACTGGGGTACAGGATCAGTTTGTGCCAAATGATGGGCACAGTCTGAAGGACTGTGGCCCAGATCTTCATGAGAGCCCAAATGAGTTTTGTTTCTTTAAGGACAAAGGCCCCCAAGTATTTTGGAAGATCTTAGGGCCTGTGCTTCCAACCCGATGGAGGTTTCGGGGTTAGGTTTGGGTGGGCAGGACAAATCGATCCATTTGGTCTCACGCTATGAAGCACGGATACTTCAAAAAGGGTGACGTATCCGTATCGGATACTTATCGGATACCGATACTCCTCGGATACTCGCGGATACGTATCGGATTCGCATCAGATATAGTAGAGTGCACTCAGCCTAGGCAGTCCATCTTTCGTGATGACCTCAGCACAGAGGAGGCACATCTAGGGTTGTCCGATATTGTAGATAGATCCTGTAAGAATTTTCTGAGATTAAATGTGACGGACGAGAACTTGGTGGAGATTAGTTTGGCTTCAGAAAAATTGGTTCAGGACTTGGAAGAGGGTCGGTTCGAATTACATGAGGTATTGCAAGCTTTAGATGAATACGGATCATCTGAGAGCTCTGATTCACACTTTGAAGGGGAAAGTATAGCGGATGAGCCTTGGGACCAGGATTGGAATCTCAATAATCTTTTCAATGCTGATGGTACTACAGATGGTGAGGATTTCGAGAAGGTTTCCGAATCTCCAAATCATGTCAGTCCTTCATTTAACCAAGTCTTAGCATTTTCATTTGCACCGAAGGGGGTACAAGCCATTCCAGGTTTTTCTAATTCTGGGGAAGGGGCTAAGGATGGGGATTCTTTGTTTCATTCATCTAGGTCGATTTGTCCTATTCTTCAGATCTCCTCAGGTGATGCTCAAGCACAAGGGGTTACCTCTGTTACCTCAACGGACATGGTGAATGGGTCTATTGTTGTGTCTAAGTCCTTACAAGCTAATGGTAGGTAATCATGTTGACAAAAGGGGTCAGGTTTTTAGTAATGGGGATGAAGAAACAGAGAGTTGGTTGAAGGAATTAAGTAAATATGAGACTTGTCCAATTGGGGCCAAGGAGGTGCCTCATTTTATGCAGTTACTTCAAGTTATGGGCTTGTCATTAGTTAAAATAGAGGGGAATTCCGGATCTTTTAGTAAAGATAGTAGGTTCATTAGGGAGAAGGTTGGTAGAAAGGTAGGTGAGAGCAGCAAAAAAGAGGCAAGGGAACTTAGGAATTTAGTAAGTTCGGTTAATTATGAGAGGCATCAGGAGGTATTTACGGATGAATATGTTTCCCAATGAAGATCTTCAGTTGGAATGTGAGGGGGTTGAGCGCTCGGAGAAAGGGGGGTGTTATTAAGGATTTTCTCAAGCGTCATCAACCGGACATAGTTATTTTTCAGGAATCTAAAGTAGAAGTATGTGATAGGAGGTTCATGAAGAGTCCTTGGGAAGTTAGACATAGGAGTTGGGTTTGTTTGCCTTCAGCAGGTAGAGCGGAGGCCATTTTGGTGATGTGGGATGAAAGAGTTGTTTCTCATTGTGAAACTTTAGAGGGGGAATTCTCACTATCAGTTAGGTTTAGAAATTTTGACAATACAGAGTGATGGTTAACAGGGGTTTATGGTCCTAACAGACCATCTAGGAGAAAGGATTTGTGGGAGGAGTTATATGGGTTATCTGGGCTATGTTCCCCTAATTGGTGCTTAGAGGGAGATTTTAATGTGGTTAGGAAAAGCTCAGAAAAACTCAATGGGATCAGAACTACTAGGGGCATGAGGGACTTTGATTTGTTTATCGCAGATTGTGAGTTGGTGGATCCTCCTTTGAGCAACACTAGATTTACTTGGTCTAATTCGCAAGAAAATTTGGTGTGCTGTAGGCTGGATAGATTTTTATACTCCTTAGGGTTGGAAGGTTTTTTCCCCAATTTAAGGCAGGAATCACTACCGAGATTAACGTCAGATCATTGTCCTATTATGACAGAAAGTTGCCCTTTAAAATAGGGCCCGATGCCTTTTAGATTCGAAAATATGTGGTTGGAACATTCATCTTTTCACAGAAAATTTGAGGAATGGTGGACCAATGCTATTTGTTATGGATGGGAGGGTTTTAAGTTTATGAAAAAGTTGAAGATGGTCAAGGAGAATGTGAAGTGTTGGAATAAGGAGGTTTTTGGGAATTTAGAGCTTTCAAAGAAAGAGGTGATGAGCAGAATCGAAAAGTTAGATGTATTGGAGATGCAGGGGGGTTTTTGCTGAGTCCTTTAGGAGGGAGCGTTCTTCGTTGAGATTGAAATTGGAAGAGTTGGTTCTTAGGAAGCAAATCTCTTGGTCTCAAAAAGCGAAGGTTAAATGGTTGAAGGAAGGGGATGTGAACTCCAGATTTTTCACAGGATAGCAGATGGGAAAAGAAAGAAGAGGTTCATTAAGAGATTAGAAGTAAGCCTAGGGATAGTAGTGGAACAGGAGAATCAGATTGTCAATGGAATTTATGATTTTTATTCTAAACTTTATTCGAAGGAGGAGATGAATAGACCAGGGATTGAAGGACTTGAATGGAGACCTATTGATCAAGCAGTTGCAACTTGGCTTGAAAGGCCATTTGATGAAACGGAAATTCGGGAGACAATTTTCGAGTATGAGAGAGAGACAAAGCTCCAGGTCCAAATGGTTTTTCCATGGCTATCTTTCAGGACTGTTGGGAGGTGGTGAAAAAGGATCTGTTGGGAGTTTTTTCGGAATTTCATGAGTCGGGGGTTGTTAATTTGAACTCAAATGCCACATTCATTTGTTTGATTCCTAAGAAAGTGAATGCGGTAAGAATTGGAGATTTTAGACCCACCAATTTGGTCACATCACTTTATAATATTTTGGGGAAGGTTTTATCAAAAAGACTAAGAATCTCCTTGGGGAGACTGTGTCGATGGCGCAGGGGCCTTTTCTGAAAGGTAGGCAAATCCTAGATGTAGCCTTAGTGGCAAATGAAATCGTGGAGGAATATAGAAGTTTAGGAAAGGAGGGTATTATCTTTAAGGTGGATTTCGAGAAGGCATATAATCACGTGGATTGACAATTTTTGGATTTGGTAATAGACAAGAAGGGTTATGGTGAGCGGTGGAGATCTTGGATTAGGGGATGTTTGTCGATATGTAATATGTCTGTTTTAGTTAATGGTAAACCAGGAGAGTGTTTCAGGGCTTTGCGAGGATTACGACAAGGGGACCCACTATCTCCTCTTGTTTTTATTTTGGTGACAGATGTATTGGGCAGGATGGTTGATAGAGCTAGAGAAGTAGGTTTTTTTACGGGATTGGAGGTAGGAGGGGATAGAGTTTGTGTCACGTATTTACAGTATGTGGATGACACAATTTTTTTCTCAACAGGAGATGAAAGTCAGATAATTAATCTTTATTCGATTTTGAGATTGTTTGGGGTCATCTCTGGCCTTAAGGTTAATTTGGAGAAAAGTAGTATGGTGGGCATTAATATACAGCAAGACCTGCTTTAGAATAGGGCGACTCTTTTAGAATGTGGTATAGAGGCACTTCCGTTTAAGTATTTAGGTCTTCCTTTGGGGGGTAATCCTAGAAGTGAAGCTTTTTAGAATCCAGTGGTGGAGAAGATTGGTAAAAGGTTGGAAGGGTAGAGTAAGGCTTTATTATCACGCGGAGAAAGATAAACTTTGGTTAAGTCGGTTTTGAGTAGTATTCCTATTTGTTTCTTATCTTTGTTCAAGATACTGGTTAAGGTGGCAAAGGCATTATAAAAGTTGATGAGGGACTTTCTTTGGGAGGCCAAGTATAAGAGGAAGAAGGATCACCTGGTGAGTTGGGATTTAGTTTCGTTACCTAAGGAAAATGGGGGTTTGGCTATTGGTAACATTTTGGCTAGGAACATGGCCCTTCTTGGCAAATGGTTGTGGAGGTTTCCACTTGAGTGTGATTCACTATGGCATTTGGTTATTAGAAGCAAGTATGGGACTCAAAACAATGGTAGGGATTCACGGGTGGTCCTGAGGGGCACTTGTCACACTCCTTGGAAATCAATTTCACAGATATACTCATGTTGGTCTTGTTATCTTTCTGTAAGGGTGGGAAATGGGGAAACTTGTTCGCTTTTGGAAGGATGTGTGGATGGGCCAATCTTCTTTTGCTTCTGATTTCCCACATCTCTATAGAGTGGCTCGATCTCATAACTCTTCTATTGCTTCTATGGCTTGTTCACTTTTGGCTCCAATTTCATGGAACTTTGATTTTTCTAGAAATCTTAATGATAGGGAAGCTTCACAGTTGGTATCCTTGTTGTCCAGAATTGAGAATTTTTCTTTGACTCCTCTTTTGGAAGACAAGAGGGTTTAGGCTCTCCATTCATCTGGGATATTTCCGTGTAAGTCTTTTTTTTATAAACTCATCAATTCTTCTCATGTTTCTCAATTTCCTTTTTCCAAAAGAATTTAGAAGGCTTGTGTTCCTCTTAAGGTGAAGGTGTTTATGTGGGCCTTGGTTCATGGAGACATTTTGACAAATGATACATTGCAGAAACGGAGACCTAATCGATATTTAAATCCTCAGTGGTGCATTATGTGTTGTAAGAATGGAAAATATGTGGATCATTTATTTTTGCATTGTCCAATAGCTTTGTTTCTATGACATAAGTTATTTCTGTTGGGGAATGTTATGTGGGTAGCTCCGCAAAGGAGTGTGCATATGCTCGAAGTTGACCTTCGCGTTCTTGGAGGATCGAAGAGAGCCAAATTGCTTTGGTCTTGTGCGGTCTAGTGTTTTTTAAGGCGAAAAGCGAACCGAGGTGACAAGGTCACCTAACGCCTAAGCGCGAGGCGACGAGGCGAGGCGAGGCGAGGGCTTCATCGAAGCGAGGCAACCAGAAATGATATTTTTTTAAAATAAATATAGACAAAAATACAAATATTTTCAAGAACCATCATGCAGTTATCATTCCAAATACTAAATATCCATAAATTGAATTAAAATAAACAAATTAATTGAATTAATTGAATTAAACAAATTAATTGAATTAAAATAATTAATTGAATAATCAGGAAATTAAAATAACCAGGAAATTAATTGAATTAAAATAAACAAATTAATTGAATTAATTAATTGAATTAAATAAATTAATTGAATAAACAGGAAATTAAAATAACTAGGAAATTAATTGAATTAAAATAAAGGGGGATGCACTAATAAATCCCAAATTAATAACTTATACACTGTTTAGTCCTAAAAGTTTTCTTATAGACTGAAAGGTCCCATTACAATGTTTCAAATATCAGATTAATGTTTCGAACATTAGATTTCGAACATCATATTAATGTTTCGAACATTAGATTTCGAACATCAGATTAATGTTTCAAACATTAGATTGATGTGCAAATGAGACTAAATGGAGCATAAGAAAATTTTTAGGACTAAATGGTTCAACTTTTCAGAAACTAGGACTTATGGGTAAATTTTCCTAAAATAAACAAATTAATTGAATTAATTGAATTAAACAAATTTGAATAACCAGGAAATTAATTAAATTAATTGAAATTTTAACACAGAAGAAAAAAAATAATTGAATTAATTGAAAAAAAATTAATTTTAAAATAATTGAATTAACTTTAAAAATTAATTTTTGCGAATTAAAAATTAATTTTAAAAAAAATTGATTCGAACAAAGAAGAAAATTAACCAGGAAGAACAGCAGGTGAAGTCGAATAAAGAAGAACAGTGAACAAAGGAGAAAGGAAGAAGAAGAAGAAGAAAGAAAGAAAGAAAGAAGAAGGTAGAAGAAGCAACTCACCTCGGAACGACGTCCGAAGAAGGAAGAAGCAGACCCAGAAGATTCGACTTTGGCAGAAGAAGACCAAAAGAAGACCAGATGATTCGATTCGACTTCGGCAGACGATCGACGAACCAAGTCGATCTAGGGTTTGGCTTCTTATTTAGTAATTAACTTTGTCGATCAAGGGCCCAGATCATTTTAACGAAGTCAATCAAGCGCCCAGATGACTCGAACTTAAATCAAGCAAAAATACGATGACGCATCGCTTCTTTACGCTTCACGCTTCATCGCCTAAGCCTCGCTTCAGGCGCTTCTCCATCGCCTCGCCTCAGCACACATGAAGCGCTGAAGCCTCGCCTCGCTTAGCGCTTAGGCGGGCGCTCTGAAAACACTGGTGCAGTCTGTGCAACCTTTTGGGTTCTATGCTTGAAAAGAAACACAAGGGTGTTTGAAGATAAATCTCGAGGGTTAGATTGTTTGTGGGATTGTGTTTGCCAAGTAACTTCTTTTTGGGCTTCGGGGAATCCTCTTTTTAAGAGGGTCCCCCTTGTTTTGTTAGCTAGAGATTGGCTGGCAGTGTGTGGTATGTAGATTTTTGCATTTGTGTTTTCTTGTTTAGGCCTTTGTTTTGTGTTTTTTCCCTTTTCTTTGTAAGAGGATGCCTCATCCTCATTTACTTTCCTTTTTGATTTATCAATAAAGTTCTTTGTTGTTGATCAAAAAAAACAAAAAAACTAGTGTGAAACAGCTTCAAAAGACTCATCTAACACAAAGTAGTACTTAAATGGAAGACTAACTTCAAAATATAGCTAGCAACAGTTAATATGTTGCAATTCGTTACAACAGGATGATATATAAGAATAAAAACATTCAAATAAAAGTAACCACAAATTATATTCACCATCCAATGCACGAATTGCATCGAGAGCGTCCCTACGATCATCAAACTCAACAAAGGCATAACCAGGTGGTCTCCTTGCAACCCAAACACTGCATAAATTTCATTTATATGTGAGAAAAGAGCAGCAACCATAAATTCAAAACAGAACAAAACAAGAAGAAAAAAATTGCAGAAGTAAACTTCAAAAGTCAAATCCAACCACGGGAGCCATAAAACTCCAAGAACATAACCCCCGGCACCCGCAGTAGAGAGAGAGAGAGAGAGTCCTAACATGAGTTGCAAAACTGACGAGTCATCTATCGGTGAACCAACTATGCTAAACTGACAAGTCCCCTAGCCCATGGCCAGCACTGTACTTGAAGTGCATCTCAAGGTGTCCTCCCATTAAAAGTGTCATTTTATGTTAGTTTCTAAGTAAATATTATAGCATTGATCTCTTTAATAGATTCCTTATATTTTCATTACTAGGTTGCAAATAAAATTGACTAAATCACAAACAAAAACAACTACAATGAAGTGTCCATCAAAGGTGCCACTGAATATCAGACAGTGTGAAACCCTGATAAAGTAATATGACATTTGGACTTCTTCAATCAGGAGACTGAAATGCTAGAACTATATACCACTATGATATTTAACAATTCATCGAAGAAGCACGGACACTTTTAAAAAGAGTAAAGTGTCATGTCTAACACCAACACGACACTCAATGGGCACTTTCCAACACTTAAAACACATGAAATACATTACAAGTATAAATAAAATATTTGGAATGGAATCCAATGACAAACACATAAATAATGTAAATTTATATCTATTCTCCTCCTTACCAAACCAAATCAAGTCTTAAGCCCCATCAAATGAGGTCGGCTACATGAATCCTTCTTCTCCACTCGACTCTATCCAATGCAATTTCGTTAGTCAAATTAAGGAGGTTCATATCTCTATTTACTACATTACCCCACGTCAATCTAAGACTGCTCTTTAGGGATGGCAATTTGAACACTACCCCTAAATTAGACAAAAAGCCAACAGTCCATACCAAAAAGTCAAAGATTCTCTATTCTCTCTACTTTTTGCACATCTTTTCGTAAAAAGCCAAAATGTCATTCCCAACATTCCCCGGCCCCGTCCCTGTCCCCGTCCCCAACCCCGTTTCTGCCCCAAACTGAAATTACTACTATACCCCTCTATATAATGTTGGTTGTGCATGCTACTTTGCAAAAATTCACAAGTAATTTTTTTTTTTTGAAGCAAAAAATAGGTGTTGTTTGGATTTTATTTTATTTTTTTTGTGGCGTGAGTATTGTTTTGTATCTTATTTGTCATGTTGTTGTTGTTGTTTGGAAGTTTATGTTTGGACATTGCTGGATTATGCTTTTATATATATTATTTTTATTTGCCTCAAAAAAATTAAAAAAATAAAATGAAAAATGCAAAATTCAAAAAAAAAAGGATCGGGGATTTTTTGGGGTTGAGGAAACCCGATCCCCGTTAAGGGTGGAGGCGGGGGTGATGGGTTCTCCGCCGAAAATCGGGGGGCGGGGACAGTAATACCTTTGCAGATTGGGGGCAAGGACAGGGAATTTTATACCTTCGAGAATCACGGACGGGGAGTGTAATCCCCAGCCCGTTGCCATTCCTACTACCCTTTTCCCTAACACTTCTATATGCCGTCATTGAATCGCATTTATTCATTACTGCCTCTGTTGGTCTCCATTGTATATGAGCAAACCATCTCAATCTATTCTCTCTCAACTTATCTTCTATCAGTACTACTTCTACCCATTCTCGAATATACTCATTCTTAACTCTATCTTTTCTACTCTTGCCACACATCCACCTTAGTATCCTTATCTCAGTAACACTCATCTTATCTACATATTGTTTCTTAGTTGCCCAACATTCCGACCCATACAATATCGCTGGTCTAATAACCATTCTATAGAACTTTCCTTTTAGTCTAGTGAACTCGTTTATTGCACTGTATCCCAAACACACTTCGCCATTTAAGCCACATCACCTTAATTCTATGGACCACATCCGCTCCAATCTCCCCAGCTGTTGTGATAATCGATCCTAAATAACAAAAATGTTCACTTTTAGGTAGTTCTTCGCTCTCAATCTTCACTTATCCTCTGCTTCCATTGTTACTGTTACTAAAATTACACTCCATGTACTCTGTCTTAATTCTGCTTATCCTAAATTTTTTAGATTCAAGCGCTTCTCTTCAAGTTTCCAACTTAGTGTTAACTCATTTTCTAGTCTCATCCACTAACACTTTATCATCTACAAAAAGCACATACCATGGCACATTATCCTGAATTTTTCTCATCAACTCATCCATAACTAAAGTAAAAAGATAAAAACTTATATATGACATATAATAAATATATAAAATTATGTTTTTTGCATTTGTCTCCTGTGTCCATACTTCTTAGGTGCTCATCACATTTAGAAGCAAAGTATCCCAACTTTCAAATGTTAGACAGTGTAGGGGGGAACAAAAGAAGAGTTAGATCGACAGAGAATTTGTAAGGGCCGATACAACCTTAGGTTTCAATCCAAATTAATCTATTGGTTTGTAATTGTACAAAGGTTAGTGATACCCTTAACAACATTGGCTGATCATAACCAACAAAGAATAGCAACACTGGTTTTAACATTTTGTAAAAGTTAAAAGTAACAATTTTCTTTGATTTTTGGGAAAATAAAATATGCTAAATATAACATATCCATAAAAAGTGGCATTACATATCAATAAATTTGTGAAACTTGGATTGTTTAAGGAAAAAGGAAAAGGGAAATGAAAACTGAAACAAACCCCCTTAAACCCCAAACCCTAATCACTAATCACTAAACCCTAAACCTTAAATTTATATTTCACTCACTTTCCAATTTGCTAAATATAAGCAATATTTATATCCACAAAAAGAAACAAGTCAACAAATTTGTGAAACTTGGATTTGTTTAGGAAAAGGAAAAGGGAAGTGAAATCTGAAATAAACCCTAAACCCTAAATTTATATTTCATTCACTTTCTCTCTTTCTCCTTCCCCTTTCTTTTTCCTTCCACAAATATTTTTTCAAATCCAAGATCCAAACAGAGTCTTAGCTTGTCCTAATCAGATAGTTAGACCCAAGTCACACAACTCACAAACCAGTAAAAACAAAATGTTCACGTAGCGTATTCAATCATATCATAACACAAACATTCGATGAAATTACCTTCTGAGAACACCGTAGATCCGGAATTCGTCTTCGATTTCCCCTTCTGTAACTCGCGGGTCCAAGTTCCCAACGTAAACTCGAGACATTGTCGTTACCTAATCATCATACAACAAAAACACCCCAACAAGGTTCAATTTTTTTTTCTCAAGAAAATCAAAATTTAAAAAAAACAAAAAAAAAAATCCCAGCAAGATTTTCCATGGAAAATAACGCAACCTCGGGAAATCCACTATACACTGATACTAACAATCAACAAAAACCATGTTTTTGTACAAGAAGGAGAGTGAAATGTGATGATTTGATTTCATACCTTCGATAAATTTCTAGGGTTTGAGGCTCGATCAAAACTGAGAGCACTCACACTGTGTTTGGAGGCTTCCAAAGGGTTGGGTTTTAGGTTTTACTGTCCACTATGTTTGGAACCAGAACAGAAAAGAAAATGAATGATTATTAAGTTATAAGAAAAAAGAATTGAAAAAAGAAAAGAGAATAAATGGTTGTGATTTTTCTCTTTTTTGTTTGGATAATGAGGAAATAAAAGAAAATAAATAATTTTAATTTTTTTCATTTTTGTTTAGTTAGATTTTATTAAGAGAAAAAAAAAGAAATTATTTTATGTTATATTATCAAAATAACTTTTTTATATTTTTAATCATCTTATTTCTTTTATTTTTATAGGGACAAAATAGGTATTATAAAAATAGTGATTTTTTTTTCTCATAATCTCTCTATTTTTGGGAAAATTAAAAATGAGACTTATAAGATAAATAAGTTTCTCTCCATTTCTTCCTATTTCTCTCCACTTAGGTTATCCAAACAAGTAAGAGAAATACATATCTCTCCATTTCTTTTTTTTTCTCTCCAAATCACTCAATCCAAACATAACGTAAATGTGTACCTTTTATATTTTCAGTCAAATTATAATATGTCCTTAGGAATTTTTTTTGTTCACGGGTAAAAATATAGAAACGATTACGTTTTTTTTAATTTAGTTAATTAAAATTTTAATATTTTAATTTGCTTTTAATCTCAAATATTCATCTATTTTTATTAAGTAAAATCGACAAAAAAAATTATTTTAGTTATCAAAGTCAATGTAGGTATATATAAAATATTTAAAATATCAATTTTCATTGAATTGAATGACTAAAATAAAATTTTTCTATTGATTTCACTTAACAAAATAAGCAAATAGTTTATATTGAAAAAAAAAAAGCAGGGATTTAAATTAACAAAATTTTCTGACCAAAAAAATTGACAAAATTAAAAATTCAGCATTTAGTTTGTTAAAATTGTCAAACCCTAGAGATTTTTTTTGTAATTTTTCCTTTTTTTTTAAATTACAAATACACTTAAAGGTTTGCTTAAAAAATAGATTGTCCCATATGATTTAAAAAACTACAAATATTCCTTGTCAAATTTTTATTTAACATAATTAACTGGAAGAAAATGAAATTCTTAATTATTCTCATATACAATGATAAAATTATCTGAATTATTAATTAAAATAAATTTTTAACAGTATTAAAAACTATTAATTGACTTGATATTTTATTAATAAAATTGTCCTTTTTTATGAAATTATAAATTTTAAGGAACGGGATGTAATTTTTAAAACCACAATTAGTAAATTGTATTTTGAACAAACCTCAGATAATGTATTGGTAATTTAAGTATATATAAAATGTTTAAAATATCAATTTTTATTGAGTTTAATGACTAAAATACTATTTTCTGTTGATTTTACTTAACAAAAAAAAGAAAATAATTTATTCTGAAAACAAATAAAAAATTTAGGGATTTAAATTGACAAAATTATCTGATCAAAAAAACTTGGCAAAATTAAAATTTCAGTATTTAATTCGTTAAAATTGTCAAACCCTAGAGATTTTTTTTTTTGTAATTTTTCTTTTTTTTTAAATTACAAATACACTTAGGGTGTGTTTGATTAGAGGGATAAAGGGGGACTATTTACTATACGAATTGTAATCTATTGGAAGCATCAAATTCGAAGTTTGTTTTTTTTTAGTCTGCATATAAAAGAGATAACAATATACCAATATATGTTAGAACTCCTAAATATGGCTGGTGAAGTATAGGTGTGGTAATATATTGCCCTCACAAGACTCTCAACCCACAGGTATAAGATCTTCGCATTGAACATTGCATGATCTCTTTCCATGAATCTGCAAAATGAGCAAACTAATAAGAGAAAACACTCAATATATGCTACCATCACTCAACCCACATTTACGGAATTCCCAACTCTCATTCCAGGGGCTGCAGTTGTCATGATAGTATGGGGAAACCTCCACGAGCTCAAGAACTAGCTGTCACTAGAATGCTTTGTCAGATTAGTAATAGACATCATTCGAAATCTAACCATATCCACGATGCATTTTATAACAACTTCTTCCGGAGTCAACTCCTTACTAAATATTCTATTGTTTCTAGCAAGCCACAAATGGTACACAGTGCAAGTAAAAGCAAGCCTAGAAATAGTTGCTCTATGAGTTTTACCACCAGCAGATCTTAACACGTGATCTATAATCTCAGGCCAAGGATTATTAGGCCAATCCACATTGAGCCTACCTTTAATACACTCCCAAACTCTACAAGAGAAGGGGCACTCAAAAAACAAATGAGCATGGTTCTCAATAGGATCATGACAGAAAACACAGTCAGTGGGATGGTCTGTACCAAACATCTGTAGTCTGTCCCCAATGTTCAATCTACCTAAGATCGCCATCCAAGTCACAAAGCTAGCCTTCGGAATGTTATAAGACCCCCATAATAACCTAGCCCAACCAATTTTAGGAAAGGATTTTCTCAGAAAATTCCAAGTTGAATTAATAGAGAATTTGCCATCAGGGGAAGGAGCCCATATAATTTGGCATTACCCGAGGTAGGGATGACATTTGATGGAGTCTGATCAATCAGTTCCTTCACCTCCCAAGATGTGACACAAGGCCAATTCCAAGAATTGTTATGGATAATGTTACTAACCTTAGCATCCATGCCAAGTGTAGTGTCATAAACAATTCTATTGCCAAATTTAACCCACAAAGACCTAGAGGATGCCAATTATCAAACCAAAGAAAAGCACACATGCCATTCCCTATTTTGAATTTAATCAAAGGGAAGATAATGGGTCTAAGAGATAGTAGTTTCATCCAGACCCAAGAAGGGTCACTAGACATCTTGATCCTCCTAAAACTTTTACCTTTCAATAAATAAGACTTGACCCATTGGCACCACATTGACTGCTCGCCACCCGAGAAGAGGAACCAGACATGCTTAGCAATAGCACCCTTATTCCAAACTTCAAAAGACTTAAACCCCAACCCTCCCTCAGATTTAGGAGAGCAGACCTTCTCCCATGAGACTTTAGCACCATGCTTCCTAAGGTCACAACCAGACCAAAAGAAGGATCTAACCAGGCTCTCAATAACAGTGACAACTATTATCCCAGATAGGCAACCCAAGAGGGGGGTGAATTGGGTTATTAAAAATTTCACAATATTAAAATTAACACAATATTCAAAATTCTAATAAATAAAAAAAAACAGAATAATAATTATCAATATAAAAGTAAGAGAGATAGGGAGAGAAAATCAAACACTACGATTTATAGTGGTTCGGCACGCCAGGCCTACGTCCACTCCCCAAGGAACCTCCTTGAGAATTTCTTTACTATCAAAACACCAAGCTTGTGGATTTGGCACAGGACTTACTCTTATCTATTGAGCCTCACTCAACAATAAATGCCTACCCTTACAAAATCTCTCACAAAAATAAGTAATAAGAATAAGTGGTACTTAAACCCTCTTTTACAATAATTCTCTCACAAAGAGTAGATATGAAAGTGTAAGAATAAATGCTAGACTTAGATCTGAAAGTGAAAAAGCATAATATAATATACTCAGAATTTTGGAGCTCACAGAAAATTTTCTCTTTAAGTTCTTGATTTTTCTCCACACACAACACTTCTATTTATACACAAAAATATACCCGTTAGACGCTCCTTGTTGACGTCATGGCTTACATAAGCATGCTCCTTACTGACGTCATGGATGACATTAGTTTGGAAGAGAATCACGTGTAAGAAAATTTGCACTCTTGCAAATTTGAACATCTTTAGGTATTAGTCAAAAGTGTACAAAAAAGAAAAAGAAAAATTAATTTGAATTGTATCTTGTATGACTTTCCACATGCTAATAATTAATGTTTTCATATGCTAATATTCAATGTTTCTACACACTAATATATGTGATACAATTAATGTTGTGTAAAAAAAATATAATTGCTCCGTAATGTATACTATTTGTATTATATGCATTATATATATAAAGTTATATATATAATGTTCTAATCAAATATTTGCATACATAGAAAAATTTCTTTAAATAATATTTATGATGGATCTGAAAATATATGTCCTCTTTAAAATATTGTATATATTGTAGAGATTTTAAACTAAATATATCCTACTACTCCATATTAATTTTGTCAAAACAAGACAACCCATCAATATCAAATTTGTCAAAATAATACAACCAATCAATCATTTTTGTCAAAATAATATAATTAATCAATTTTTAATTTGGTCAAAAAGTGAATAGTGATCAGCCTAAATTTTTAAAAAGTGAATAGTAAAGTTTTCAAAAATATTTTTATTTAACTAATATTTAACAAATATATATATTTTAAAAAGATAATAATTTGTGTCAAATAAATATGTACATTAAAAAAAAATCCAAATTGTTATAAATAATATTTTAGATATCATCAAAATTAAATAATATGATTAACAATAACCTTCTTAGGCAAGATAAACAAGGAATACCAATACACTTGCATGGAGAAAATAATCGATTTAATCAATTGAGCTCTACCAGCATAAGAGAGATATCTATTAGTCCAGCTTTTAATTCTCTTAGCCTCCGTTTGGGTAGTGGGTTGACTTTTTGGCTTTTTGGGTTTTTTGGCTATTTGAGCCTGGGCTCAAAAGCTTGGTTTGAGAAGGGCTTTTTAGCTTTTTGACTTTTTTGACTTTTTTTGTGAGAGAAAAATGTAATGATTATGGGTTAGATGTGATGTTTTGTCTGTTGTGACTTAAATAGCCTATTCTGTCTTTTGTGACTCAAAGAGCCAAAAGAGCCCAAATGAGCTATTCCCAAACGACACCTAGTAATCCTCTTCACCAGCTGGTCACAATCCTTAGATTTGAGCTTAGTTGAAATAAGAAGGACACCCAAGTATCTAACAGGAAAGAATCCCTCATTAAATTTGACAACGTTCATAAGCTAATCACGCAACTTTTTCTCACACCCCGAGAAGAAGATATGACTTTAATTGGGGCTAGGGGATAAACCAGAAAGACTTTGGAATTCATCTAGCCCATCCTTAATAGCCTTAACAGTAAATACATCCCCTTTACAAAAAATCATCA